TGAAAAGACGGTGGCCCATATTCTACCGAAAGTCCAAAATAATCACCAAGTGTGCCCCTGAGTGTGCCTGATTTCTTGCGGAACAATACTGCCAACAATTCCAAACAGTACCTATTCGTATACCTATCCAGGGTGTGTCGTTTTCAAACCTAGTATTTCGAGTGATATTACGCCGTGAAATATTACTCATTGGCGTGGTTCATTAAAGGGACCTTAATTAAGACTCCTCATTTTCTGGAGGAAGCATTCAAAGAGTTAAACGCCTCCCCCGAATCCCAGGCAGGCTGAGTGGTGAGGCACGCCCTCCCTAGCTTTCCGGGTCAGTACGACATTGAGTTTGAAGTGACGTATTGTATCTCAACATCCGGCCGGAACCATGAGTTTGACCACGATGGCAACGTACAGCAATAATATTTTTACTGAAATAAATTAACAAATCTCGGGGGGTGTTGGGACAGCTATAACCAGGGGCAAAGAGGACAGGACGTCCGTACTACGCCGTCTGGCCTTAGGAGCTGGCCGCGTGTTTAATGCGCAGAACAGTTTTACTAAATCGGGTACTCAGACCTCACCGCTGCACTTGGCAACGACCCTGCCCCTAACATACCTGCCCGTAAGCTGACGTGGGTTCAACTTTCAACCTATCCAGCCTCTCTCACCAAGGCATTGCCACCCCACCCCAATCTCACCCATCTACCATCAATCTGCGGACGCAACCACCTAATTAATGTTTTACAACCTTCAGACCCAAACGGCCTAAACACCCTGCCCCTTCATGGCGGATACAGAACCAAATTGTCCATGTGCTGGCTTCGTTATGTTAGGCGGTGAGTGGAGGGGAAGGGGGCAAGTAAAAGGGCCTGATACCCGGCAAGCTGGCCGTTACAGAAACGAAAGCCGTGGGGATGCCTGTAATTTATCCTTCATTATTTTTCCTGACTACATTATACTAGCATTTTGGGTGGCCTGGGTGGCTTTTGTGTAAAATGCTCGCCTCTCACCAAGGTGACCGCAGTTCGAATCCTGGCCGCGGATCACGTGTGAGTAGAGTTGTGTGTTGGTTCTCTCCTGTGCCACGAGGGTTTTTCTCCGTGCCCTCCGGTTTTCCTCCCTCCGGCAAAATCAAACACTTTCGATCTCAGTCTGTGCTCTGTGGTGATAATATGGGTCGATGTGGCCGGCAGCCATAGGCGCCTTTACGTGCCAGCGGCCCGACCACGTTGTAGCCGCACCCTTCGCAATTCAGCATCCCAGCTGCAACTAAGGATGATTAGCCTCCCAAATTATTTATTGTTATACTTCAAGACTCCGTGGGGGAAATAAAACGAGTGGACTACACCATCGTCTTAGTAACATTTACTGTTCTTGTTCAATTATTGAAAGATAAATAACTATTGGTATCAGTTTTGTTGCCCCCTCCCATTTTCAACCCCTAACCCCCTCGACACACATCTGTACCGGGCCTTAAACACGAACCCCAAATTCAAGACGACAAAGCAGCAACATAACTCTACAGAAATACAAATTAATTCACTGAATCGTTGCAAATATATTTTAATATTAAATTGACTAGAACTGTAAATACTAATCACGTATTTGAGTTCGCAATAAGATTTTGTTCACAAGAGCCAAATTGGTATTTGCTCGTTCATTTCGACGACAACCAATTTCTTTAACTTGTTTTAGTACATCTTCAAAATGTCTTTGCAATTCTATTTTTCCAGAGAATTCGATTTCATTCTTCCAGAGTGTATCACAAGGAGCATGTATGTTCCACCTTATCAAAAACTAGTGTTTTCAAAACATTATTTTTTAGAATTTATATTCTATATATTATCACATGATATTACTAAATTAGTTAAGCTATTAAACAAACAGATATTACGAACTGTAAACGCACTTGAAAATAAACAACACCTTTTGTACAATAAAATAATCGTTTGCAATAGAATTATCACTGCATTTTAACAATTCATCAGAATTAAATTCTAAGACCAAACTTTTAACATGTTCAAATCCAATGAAAATAATTTGGCACACATGAAAGAAAAAAAAAACAATAATGACATTTAAGAGTCATTGGTCCACTATGGTGCAATTCAAACTCATGTCTTTGTTTGTTTGTTTGTTTGTTTGTTTGTTTGTTTGTTTGTTTGTTTGTTTTTTAGAAAGAAAACAAATCCTTCCGAGGATTAATAAATGATACTGCATTGGACGTATCTCCGCCGGGGTGTCTCTTATCTGGGGTAGCGTGAATTTAGGACACTATGAAATGTAGACTCATTAATATTATAGTGCGTGTCTAGCTGGTGATAATTAGTAGAGTGACCGCTCACGCGAGAGAGTTTAACCAATAATAGGGTGCTAGTAAGTCAATCATTATTGACATTTTGAGTTTTTAACTTTCTTTCATACACTTGGCGGATGGGTTTAAACCTATATACCGGTGTGCACCCTTTACCATCCTGCATGGGCGGGACTTTTTTCTTCCAAACGTCATCCGCATAATGGGTGTACGATATGGCGTTTTGGAATTTACTTTTCTAAAAACGTGAGAAGAAAATATAAATTAGAAAAAAACAGAAATGAATTCGAACGTAATGACATACGGACCTTATTTGCCTTCAGTTTTGTTTGCCGATGAACCCCTCCGAAAAATTCCGCCCCTGCACACATCCAACCCCCCCCCCCTCCCCATACACATGGCGATGACCCTGGCCCTAACATACCCGGCGTTTGTAAGATGAGCGAGTGAGGAAATCGAACAGCTATCACCCTACTCAGCCTCTCTCACTGCTCTCTCTCATTCTCACCCATCTTTTTTTGAAAAGGGCACTTGCACACCCGTGGTGAAATGTAGACAGGTTTTTTTTTCTCCGGACACTTGGGCCTGACATCCAGCATTTTTTATTTCTCATTTTGTTCTGTCTACATGTTTTAGCATTTTGAGAATCCGTGGGGTTAATGGGATAAGTAGACTACACAATCGTCTTAGTGCAATTCATTGTTCTTGATGAATTATTGAAAGATAAGTAGTAATAGGCATCATATTTTGCTGCCGCCCCTCATCTTCAATCCCTAGCCGCCTCGACACCACTAATCATTCATCCTCCACCCCATCCATCCTCATTCAATGTTAACCCGGCCTTTCATTAACACCGATCCCCAAATCTAGAAGTCAAAACAAACAAAAATGGACAAAAAAACAGGTAATTAACTGACTCTGTTTGCAATAATTTGTAATATCAAAGGGATTAAAATTGTTATCTATAATCACAGATTTAAGTACTTAATAAGAAATTATTTTGTTCGTAAAAGTCAGACTGTGATTTGCTCGTTCATTTCAACGACAATATTTCTATGTAATTTTACTTTCTTGAGAGGAATTCGATGGAATGTATTAGGATTGGGACAAGGTTTCCCACATTGTTAAAAGCTAAATGTTCAATTAAAGTAATGTTCAAAATACAGTTTTCGAGTATTTATATTCGATACTGATTACATGTTATACGATTAATTTCTGTGCTTAAATTGGTTTAGCTGCTTAACAGAGCACATCCCCAAATGTATACTTGGATTTTGTTTTCGTACAATCAAATATATACTATAGAATCATAATTGTGTAATCTACTGATATAGCATCACATTATCAACTGAAATAACATTAAATCGTAAACAATTTCATCAAAGTGAAAGCTCTAAAACTCAACTTTTAACATGAAACAAAAATTCAATTACACATGTATAACATGGGATACAAAATAAAGTGTTTAACAAAAGTTTAGAGTTCTTGGTTCACTGTGGCGCAATTTAAAACTCTTGGTTTTTTTCAAGAAGAAAAGTTTCCGAGGATAAATAAATGATATCACCAGCCTTTATTTAATCTCTGGCTGTATACGGTATGCGAAATGCAAATGCAAAAAAATATATATATATTAACAACAACAATATATTTTAATACATGCTTTTGTTACTTCCCAGACCGACTATTGTAACAGTTTATGTTTTTTTTCCACACGATTACCAGTTTAAGAAATAACAACATATATGCAGAAGGAAGGGTCGTACGCCCATACTTCAGGAACTACGTTGGCTCTCGGTTACGGCGCGGAATGAATTCAAGATTCTTCGGTACTTTTCAAACTTATCCGCCATAGTGAGGCAGCGCTACTGTACCTCACAGAGTAAATATAAGTTCATGCGTTTAACATTGGCACTAAAAGCTGTAAAAGGGTTCAGTTCAACCTTCCTAAAGTTCGTCCAAAGCCTGGCAAGGCATACGGTGACCGTGCATACTTCCACGTTATGTGAGCAAAAAATAATGAATTTGAAAGGTGTTTTTTTAATCGCAGCTAAAACCTCAAAAGTCATATATTTAACATCTTTTTAATTAACTGTTTTTTTTATGCAGTTTTGATGTCTTGTAGAGCGTTTTGATACTTTCATGTAAAATGCTTTGCATTTAGAACCAATTATCTTTCTAACTGTCATAACATTGACATTTTTTCTTTTAATTCATTGGTTACTGTTTTGGCAAAATGGAAAGCGAAACAAACAAGAGCAGAACTGCTCCTGTATATTTATGAGTTGTGATTTAATTTTATTTTGAGAAAAACTGTGACGGGGTTAAGTTCGACCACCCTAAAATGTGTCCAAAGCCTGGCAAGGCATACGGGGACTGTGTTTTTACCATGTATGCATCTGTGGAACAGACTTTCCGCCGAAATGAGAAATATTGATGAATTTGGAATTTTTCAATCACAGCTTAAAATATTTCCTTCCAAAAACAAGTATTAATTTATCTGATTTTTAATGATTTTTTTTAGTAGTTTTGATGTCTTCTTAACCGTTTTGATATTTTAATGCTAAAGATGTATTAAACATTACTCATTTTTATCATAGCTGCTGATGGTACCAATAGGGAACATTTTGTCGTCATTTATTGTTTGTATTATGTCATTGAGCATTATTTTTGTTAATTCGTTGGTTATTGTTTCGGCAAAATGGAAAGCGAAGTTTTTTTGGGGGGGCAGCACTGCTCCTGTATATTTATGCGAGGTGATTTTTTATTAATTAATTCATTGACTCCGGGTAAAGGAGGACGCCGCTGAATGAGGTGTAGTGGCTTGTGGATTCACTGTACGCCCTACCGTACATGGTGAGATACACCGTATCTCCACGCTGCAGAACCAGCACCGCGCTTCCAGACAACTGACCTCGTTGATTTGATTGACCAAGGGTGGTAATCACCCTGTGGTTGTTTTTAACCAGATAGATAAAAAGGCTATTGCTGTTGCTATATTTAAGAACAGAAAACGTAAATACGTAGGTGCCTGGCACACTACAGGTGAACGTACCGGTCTCGAGATCGAAACTGGTACCCGGCAGAAGGGTCTCGGCCTGCTGGAAGGGCAAACGGGTGTCGTGACTCGTAGAGGTATCCGAGCTGCTCGTCCTCACCACAGTGAATGCCACCCGCTGGTTGGAGTCGTCTGGTGTCCCCCCTGTCTCACCCTTCTGACCTTTGACACCAGGTTCCCCAGTTCCTCCAACAAAACCAGGTAGCCCTCTCGGACCTATCTTGCCAGGCAGACCAATCCCATCATCACCTTTAGACCCAGTGTTCCCAGGTGATCCCTGATCACCCATAGGTCCAATCTGTCCAATCTCACCTTTGTGTCCAGGCTCACCCTTGCCGCCCTTTGACCCCGGCTGACCGTACGGCCCCATCTGTCCTAACGGTCCGGGCAGACCAGGTATGCCGGGTATGGCAGCAGGTCCCTGGCAGCACTGCTGACACACCTGAGACGCAGGACCATCACCGTCCGAGGGAACCGGCCCAGTAACGGAAGCTCGGAGCTTGACAGAGTTACCTAGAAGGAGGGCTATTGACAGAATGATGGCAACGCAGATCTTCATCTGTAAAGAAAACAACATAAGACCGATACATAAAACTGAAAACAAAAGAATTAATGACTAAATAAATAATGATGTAACATAAACTGAAGAATTTGTCTTAGGGACATGCATGTCTTCATAATATTTCTGAAGAATCGTTATTCAGAGAATGTGTTCGGAGTGATATGGCAGTTTCATTTTCATAAGGAAAAGGTGGATTCTTTTCAAATGGGTTGCCATGGCAATGATGGACAATCCACATAATTGGGCTGGTTATTACTTTTGCTCGCCGATATAAGTCAGGAAAAGAGACTGAATTACATCAGGTTTTATTTTTTTGTGGGGACGGCCCGCCCTTGTCACAGTCATGATAGAATCAATTAGACATCACCTCACTGACCTCAATGGTTCGCTCTTGAAAACTTGAAGAGCAGGTCCAAAAAGAGATGAGAAGGAATTCGGTGTGGGCTGAAACAAAAACAAGAAGAAAACCTGTAACATTTATACTTGATTAAGAAATTAAATAATTTTATCATCGATTTAATGCAATTGTGAGGTTTTTTTTTCATTTTGATAAATCATCATTCGAAAACGGGGACAATTATTCACTAATTAATAACGGTCAAAATGATTGTTTGATTGGTATTTTTCTGGCCGAATACGTCCAGAAAAAAAAGCAACCTGTTTTAATGTCGCTTTGTGAAGATTCTTGGGAAACTGAATGCTCCATGAAATCAGCATTTATTGAAACGCAATCAGTAAAACCTTTATTCAAATTCATGTTACCAAAAATGGTGTGTATTTTTTAGGCACTAGTAAGTCAGTAAAATGATTTTGAAAGCACAATTATGTGAGTTTTTAAAACAGCAAATAATTCATTACAATAGCTTTTCCTCCCGTCCAATTTCACACCTTGCTTATTCAATATTTGAACACTTTCTTTCTATTAGCAACTTTTTCAAATCCAGTTGAATTTAGCGAATGATCAAAATATTTAATGGTATCTTCGCTATACGCGTAAAAAGTAAGCAATTTACGTAATTTTTGCATTGGATTTATTGTGCTTTTGATTTGAGTCCTGCTCGGGAATTTACATTCATGCATACGTTTACAAAAGTAGCACATGTTCACTAAAATTCGGCAGTTTAGCAAGATCAGTGGCGGATCCAGGGGTGTGGAGGCAGTGACCTTAATGTTATGAAATAAGGCCAAATTTTACTTGAGAGAGCCCTTACACACACACGCTTTCCCCGCACAACCTGCATCCCCGGCAGTAACTCTCTGGATCCGCCCTTGAAGGTACTGTCTGATAATTATAAAGTATAAAATGACTTGATTTTTAATAATTTTGTATAAAGGAATGAACACATGTTTCAAGGAAGAAATCTTCAACACATAAACAGAATACTGGCGGAAAATAATACCAATTGATAAAAATGAGTTATTGAGTTATTTTCTGCATAAATAGGGGAAAACGACCTCATACCAGTATAGTAGTGGGAATATTACAGGTGGACCACCGCAGTTAAGTTACAGTCGTTACAAAAAGAATTACTTCCCCGATGGTGGGACACCAGCGCACCGGTTTGGCTATTAGCATCAGCCACCATTTTGTTTGTCAACCATGAATGTGTCTAGGAAAATTTTTGGGTTCAAGAAAATAAAAATTTGTACCAATTGCACAACCTAAAACACTGAACATATTGCTTTTTGAAAAAAAGATATTTAACAGAATGCTGAGTGGAATCCTACATGCAAACATTGCTGAATTCATCGGAAAGTTGGTGCTTTAAACGTTGAAGTAATAATAATAATCGGCATTTAAGAACGCCCCTTTTAGTAAACTAAATCACGGCGCTAACAGTATTATTATTTCCCCGATCATTGGGCCAATTAAACATTCCAAATACCATCTCAGCTCCCCAGGGAGTATACAGCTCGATGACGCCTGTTGGGCGCAAGCAAGCTAAATCAATCACATAACCATCTCTGCCCTCACAGGTACCCATTTACTCCAGGGTAGAGAGAAGCAATGAGTGACAAAGTGCCTTGTCAAAGGACACACGCACCATAACCCCTAGCTGGACTCGAACCCACAACCAACCCGCAGAATTACCCGCAGACCACGAATTCTATGCCCTTAACCACGAAGCCACGGCACTCCTCAAGAAGTCGGACAGCAGAGCAGACGGCACGAATAATTGGTACAAACATCAACCCTCAACATAATTACCAGAAATGAATCCGGCTAGATAAAGCAATTTGAACTTGAATAAAACTGTGTGTGTGTGATCATAATCCAGTCCGTTCGTATTTGCGCCCTCTAGTCTCTTCTAACCAGTGACACTTTTATCGTGCAATGCTTGAAAGTATGAACGTTTCAGGCCTATAGAGTGATCAAACCGGAATGGCGCACTGTGATCTAGTGAAATGACACAGTTTAAAAACAAAGTCCAAAAGGTATTGAGATTATCCCAATTTTAAATAACACAACATAGGACAGGATGTTTGAGATGTCCCGATTTCCTTTATACGTTCTTCCGTGGCCAACTTCCGCATAACCTTCTATCCTGAATTAGTTAGAGTGATTGCCGGAAAAAAGGTGAGCGCATCGCATCGGGATTATATGGTTAATACAATAAACAGGGAAACTAGCGAGAAAATAAAGGAGGTGATTGATCATACTGATATTATGGGTAAAGTGCCGAGCTTCCACAAGATTTCTTTCTTTGAACACAAACAGGTTTAAATTTTTCATCTGAATAATATTGTGTAAGTGCGTGAACTTCAATAACAAACAGGAACTTGATGTAATACACTCCAGGTTTGACTGGAAAACTGGCGAATCTGAATTACAATAAAAACTATCAAACTTCCATGAATTCATAGTGTTGTTTTTCAAAATTCAGTATTTGGGGAATTACTGTGCGTCGAGAGTGCACCATGTAAGTAGTAGCGGAAGTATTGTCGGACAGGAATTCCTTATTCCGAACAAAATAGAAAAAAAAAAACTATTTTTGTTCTATAGCTTTTATTGCCTGAAAATTTGGCCTCGCAAAATGTTGGCTTGAATCCGCATCAACTGTTCAGACTAAGAGCTAATTCAGCTATAGTCTATACAACATAATACCTGGTTATGATTCACAAGCACCAATATCGATAAGTTATCGAGTCACCGTGTGGAAACGGGATCATCATGGTCGGAAATATTTATATCTCGCCGTTTTGCCTATGAGCAAATTTGTGTCAATGTCACATATCACCAAAGGTCAATCCCAAAATTTGCAGAATTATCGTCAAAGATTGTTTTAAACACTCACCGTGCAATTCTTGTTCGATCTTGCAAACAGTTCTCTCGGGTTGTCGTCTGAACGTGGACATGAGCTGCGGTCGTTGTGAGGAGTGAGCCGGCAGCTTGTGACTTAAATATTGACGTCGATTTCCCGAGCAGTGACTGAGGAACTTGCATGCCCGGTTTGCGATTGGCCCCTGCTCGCTGTCAATCACACATCACTGACTCGCTTCATATTGATGAGAGGGAAATGATGTTACTGTTACATTGCCACACGTTAAACCCGAAGCTTGTATCACCAACACTCAAATGGACGCATCTAATTGGTGGAACGATTGTATGGACGTCGGTGACCTATTCACACGTGGATTGTGATTGGCACCTGTCAATCACAGACCACTCACTTGTGGTCACCGACTTGTTGGGTGACTTACTCTGATTGGTGGATAGAATAATGACGTACATCGGCCATACGTGATTCAATCAGTGTTAGTTTTGCGCTTCGTGTTATTTAATGCAGCCACGCATTTGGTGGCTAGTATTTTGTAGTCAGGGTATGCAGTCTATCTTTTTGATAGAAAAACGAAGGCGTAATAATTTAGCTTGAGAAGAAAAAGTAATGAGAACTTCAATATATTGTGTTCATAATATCCTGTACAGGTACAGTTGCCGCACTCTTACGGTGAAGTATACTTAATTTGCAGAACCCAGCAGGTAACTTTAATTATAACCATTCATCTATCCCACTCCACTAATCAAACGTGCGCTTGGCCAGGCCAACTCCTCGCTAATTGAGGCCCTCCCACCTCCGCTTATTGAGCCCAACCTATACCAAAAACCAAACAAATAATTAGGCCAACCCCTATCTTGACCCTCGCCTAATCAAACCTAATCCCAAACTTACCCCAACTGTTTGGATCCTACCATGTGCAACAAACTTCTTTCCTTAGGAAACACTAGCCTTCAATTGCCTGATCTCGCAGCCAAGCACGAATATCCATATTATACCCCTGCCCCCAACATCCCATTCCCCTCCTAACTACCCTGGGCAGCCAACGGCGGATCCCGAACCAATATGCTGAGGTGGAGAAGGGGAGTGCTATGCTTATTTAATACTAGAGTGCTGTTGTTCCCCTTTCTATTAATAGTTTCGTCGACAGGAAGAGGAAGAGTAAATCCTATCGAGTGCCACCGTTTTTAGTAATTCACTCATCAACTTTCTGCTTATGACAACCAACACTTTTTCCCTCTACACTAGGCCGGCCTATAAGAATACCTACTGAGACAATTTGAAAAGACGGTGGCCCATATTCTACCGAAAGTCCAAAATAATCACTGTGCCCCTGAGTGTGCCTGATTTCTAGCGGAACAATACTGCCCACAATTCCAAACAGTACCTATTCTTATACCTATCCAGGGTGTGTCGTTTTCAAACCTAGTATTCCGAGAGATATTTCGCCGTGAAGTATTACTCATTGGCGTGGTTCATTAAAGGGACTTTAATTAAGACTCCTCATTTTCTGGATGAAGCATTCAAAGAGTTAAACGCCTCCCCCGAATCCCAGACAGGCTGAGTGGTGAGGCACGCCCTCTCTAGCTTTCCGGGTTACGCCACTGAGTTTGAAGAGACGCATCGTATCCATCTCAACATCCGGCAGGGACCATGATTTTCACCACGATGGGAACGTGCAGCACCAACATTGTAACTGAAATAAATCTGCCATCGGAT